GGCAGGCAGGGGAAAGAGGGAGCCCTGCCAGGTTCTCTCCCCAGGTTTGGGGTGGGGGGTGGAATCAGGACAGCTGGGTTCTTTCCCCTTGTCCCAGATAAGTGCTGGTGGGGTGGGAGGAGCCAGGACACCTGGGTTATTTCTTCTCCAAGTTCTAGAGAAGGAGGCTGGACCATTCCTACCCCTCACCCTGCATTTCTTGGGGGGGGGGGGTGTTGTAGGGACCCCCCTATGCAGGTCTGGGGCAGACCCTGCCCCCTGCCCCAGACACATTTAACCCCTTGCTGCTTGTGGCCCTGCAATCCTGGTTGGGGGGAAAGGAGGAAGCTGGAGTGGGGGAGAGACCCTGCTGACCTCTAACTCCTTGCTGCCTGCGGCCCCACAGTTCTGGGAGGTGATCAGCGATGAGCATGGCATTGACCCCACAGGCACCTACCACGGCGATAGCGACCTGCAGCTGGAGCGCATCAATGTCTACTACAATGAAGCCACAGGTCAGGGATGGGGATGGGGCTGGGCTGGGCTAGGCTGAGGGGGCCTCCGGGAGGGTGGGGCAGGGTGTAGGAGGAAGGGGCATGTGGGTGCCTGGGTTCCTTCCTTTGCCCTTGGGGGAAGGTTTGGGGTGGAGGAGAGTCTGTTGGGGGATGTTGGGCTGGAGTATGAGCCTGGTGCCTGGGTTCCATCCCTTGCCCTGTAGTGGTTGGGAAGGCTGGTGTCCAGTGGGTTGGGGTAGGAGCTAGGATGCCTGGGTTCCTTCCCACCTCTGAGAGGAGCAGGGGGGCTAGAAGCCTGGATTTCATGCCCAACACCCAGGGGCTAGACACTGGCATCCAGCACATAAGCTAGAGAGGCCTGAACACCTGGCTTCTGTGGGGGGGGGGATCCAGTGGGTTGGAGTAGGTGAGGCTGGGACCCCGGATGCCTGAGTTCTCTCCCGGCTTTGGGAGGAGGGTGAGGGCTGGAGGGATTAGAGCAGAGTGGGGCTGGGAATCCACATGCCTGGGTTACAGTCCAGGCAGGCTTGTGGGGGGGGGGCCCAGTGCAGTGGGGGGGTCCCCCAGATGCCTGGATTCTCTCCTCTTTGCTCTTTTAAAGGGGCCTTGAAGACCCCCTGTGCACCTGCCAGAGTGGGAGGCAAGGGTTAAGGGGTGGGGGGGGCATCCTGTTGCCCTCTGATTTCACCCTGCCACCCCCAGGTGGGAAGTATGTTCCCCGTGCAGTGCTGGTGGACCTGGAACCAGGCACCATGGACTCGGTGCGCTCCGGCCCCTTTGGACAGATCTTCCGGCCTGACAACTTCGTGTTCGGTAAGGCCCCAACCCATGGTCCCATCCCCATCCCCATCCCCAATCAGGGGGCCAAAGAAGCATGGCAAGGAGGCATGGCTGAGAGCTGAGACTCCTGGGTTCTTAACACTGGGCTAAGGGGGGGGGGGGACTTGCTGGATTTCAGTGCCCCATGGGATGCTTCCAGAAGTGGGGCTGGGGGGCAACTGAGACTCCTGGGTTCTTACTAGGCAGGGGGAGGTTCGAATTGGAAGCAGCAGCCTCCGTGCTGCCTGAGATGGGGTGGGGGGTGTTGTACAGACCCCTGGAGCTGAGACTGGCTCAACTTGTTGCATCTCATGGCCCTGGCTTGAGGTGGGAGGGTCTAGGTGGAGCTGGAACTCCACCCTCAAGCCATCCCAACTGGGGGAGACCTAGATGGGAGGAGTGGGGTAGGGGCACTATCCCAGTGGGGGGTGGCAGGGCTGAGACCTGGTGGACTCTGCATACCCACCAGCTGTGGCTTGGGCTAGGTGGGGCTGGGGTGAAGGTAGAAACGTTCCCTAGCCCTGTCCACCCTCTTCTTCCCCCCCCCACCCCAAAAAAAAAAAAAGTCATCAGAGGCTGAGGGAGACCTAAATGGGAAGGAGCAGGGGGACCACATAGGTGCTATCCCAGTGTGTGGTGGTGGGGCTGAGACCTGGCCAGCTCAACCCCCACCCCACAGCTGCAGGTTGAGCTGGGAGGAGGGGGGCATCTGAGTGGAGATGGGGACCCCCTCCCAAGCCATCCAAGGTTGGGGAGATACCTACATGGGATAGAGAGTACCCATGGGCTCCCCCCTCCAACTGGTGGGATAGATCTGGGTAACGGTTAACTCCAACGCACCCACCAGCTGCAGCTTGAGTTGGGCTGGGGGCCTAGGTGGAAGTGGGGATATCCCCCCTCCCCTAGCACCAAATCCATCCCAGGCAGAAATTTTCATGAAAGGGAGAGGACCCTTTGGGTGCTATCCCAGTGTTGGGTGGCAAGGCTGGGACCTGGTGGACTCAACACACTGGCTTGGGCTAGGAGGGAAGCTGACATGGAGGTGGGGATCCCCATCCCAGCTGCCTCCTCACCTCCGCTTCACCCAAAAACCATCCCAGGTAGGGGGAGACCTAGATGGGAAGAAGTAGGCAGAACCTTTGGGTGCTCTCCTGGTGTGGGGCAGTAAAGTTGAGATCTGGCCAGCTCCATGCACCCACCAGCTGCAGCTTGAGTGGGTTGGGGGGGGGGGACCTGGGTAGAAATGAACCTGCAGCCTTGCACAATCCCCCACCCCTCCCAGGATGGTAACCAGACCCACCACCTTCTCCCCATTTCCAGAAGTGGGGCTAGGGGGCAACTGAGACCCTAACACCCCCCCCCCCACTTCCCCCCAGGTCAAAGTGGTGCAGGCAACAACTGGGCCAAGGGACACTACACAGAAGGGGCTGAACTGGTAGACTCAGTCCTGGACGTGGTGAGGAAGGAGGCAGAAAGCTGCGACTGCCTGCAGGGCTTCCAGCTCACCCACTCGCTGGGTGGGGGCACGGGCTCAGGCATGGGCACACTGCTCATCAGCAAGATCCGGGAGGAGTACCCTGACCGCATCATGAACACCTTCAGCGTGGTGCCCTCACCCAAGGTCTCGGATACGGTGGTGGAGCCTTACAATGCCACGCTGTCCGTGCACCAGCTGGTGGAGAACACGGACGAAACCTACTGTATTGACAACGAGGCCCTGTATGACATCTGCTTCCGCACCCTCAAGCTCACCACGCCCACCTATGGTGACCTCAATCACTTGGTCTCGGCCACCATGAGCGGCGTCACCACGTGTCTCCGTTTCCCCGGCCAGCTCAATGCCGACCTCCGCAAGCTGGCTGTCAACATGGTTCCCTTCCCCCGACTCCACTTCTTTATGCCTGGCTTCGCCCCACTTACCAGCCGCGGGAGCCAGCAGTACCGAGCTCTCACAGTGCCCGAGTTGACCCAGCAGATGTTCGATGCCAAGAACATGATGGCAGCTTGTGACCCCCGCCACGGGCGCTACCTCACAGTGGCAGCTGTCTTCCGGGGCCGTATGTCCATGAAAGAGGTGGACGAGCAGATGCTGAATGTCCAAAACAAGAACTCGAGCTACTTCGTGGAGTGGATCCCCAACAATGTCAAAACAGCAGTATGCGACATCCCACCGCGGGGGCTCAAGATGGCTGCCACCTTCATCGGCAACAGCACGGCCATCCAGGAGCTCTTCAAGCGCATCTCGGAGCAGTTCACGGCCATGTTTCGCCGCAAGGCTTTCCTCCACTGGTACACAGGCGAGGGCATGGACGAGATGGAGTTCACGGAGGCTGAGAGCAACATGAACGACCTGGTGTCTGAGTACCAGCAGTACCAGGATGCCACGGCTGAGGAGGGGGAGTTTGAGGAGGAGGCAGAGGAGGAAGTGGCCTAGGAAACCCTCCCGGGGCTTCCCCTTCCTCTGTATTCCGTCCAGCACCCAACCCAACCCAACCTGGCATGGATTCCCACCTTGTAGACTTAGAATTTGGCAAGAATGGTGTTGCCCCATGGTGGCAGTGTGGGGGTTAGACAAGCTGTGTGGTGGTGGTGGAGGGGTATGTAGGTCTGATGAAAAGCACTGACTCCCTTGTCCAAAATCTTCCCTCCCTCAATCATCCACTCAACTCAAAATGGCATGGATTCCCACCTTGTAGACCTACAGGCTGGCAAGAATGGTGTCACCCCCTGGTGAAGGCAGAGCAGGCTGTGGGTGATTGGTAGGTGCGGCTCTATAGGTCTAATAGAAAACTGTCTGTCTTCCCCACACGTAATCCTACACCCTACCCAACTCAGTGAGGTATGGATTCCCACATTGTACACCTAGAGTTTGGTAAGAGCAGCTCTGTCCATTGGTGGTGGGTTGGGGGTAAGACAGGTTGTGTGATGGGGCAGAGGGGAGGTCTCTTGGTCTGATGGAGAGCTGCTATCTTACATCCAACCGAATAGGGCATGGAGTCCCACCTTGTAGAGCTAGTATGGCCAAAGCGGTGTGACCCTGTTGGTGGCGTGGGGGTAAGAGGCCATGTATAATGGCAAGGGGGCTATATAAGTTCATCGGGAAGCTCGGTCTCCATTGTCTGCTATCATCCCCTTCCTCCTGAGCTTGGCAAGAGTGGTGGTAAGATGGGCCCTGTGAGATGGGGCAGAGGGGTATAGATGTAATGGAAAGCTCTTGACTCCCTTGTCCACTGTTTTTTCCCCTACCCCCATCCTACACCAACCTAACCCATGGCTTGGATTTCTACCATGTAGATCTAGAGTTCACCCAGAGTGGTGCTTCTGCTGGTGTGGGGGGAAGGGGTAAGACAGGTGCGTGATGGGGTAGGAGGGATGTAGGGTTGAGGGGAAGCTCACACTCCCTTCTCTGCCATCTTCCATCCATCTTCCTTCTAGCCCAATGGGCATGAGGTCCCCCCACCTAGACTTACGGTTCACCTAAAGCTGCACTGCCCCTGGGGTGAGGTAGTGCAGTGGAATGGCAGAGGGGAAAAGGGTGGGGGGAATGTGGGTCTAATGGAAAGCACTGGCTCCCTTCTCTGCCCCCATCCTACACCTACCCCAACCCAACAAACAGTCCTGGCCTGGGCTCCTACCATGGCTGCCCCCTTCCAGCAAGGAGGTGGTACAGCAGGCTGTGCTATAAGATGGGAGAGGGCTATGGGGCGGGGTCTCATGGATAGCACTGCCCTTAACTCCCCACCCCCCCCCCCCCCGCCCCTGCCCCCCC